ACCACATGAAACCAAATGAAAAAATTGTTGGCACATCAATAAAAAGGAATCACGGGGATGTTTTAACAAATACTTTATACTTCTTAGTATACTTTTAGTAATACTTTTAGTAATACTTCCATCTTCATTTAAGCTCTAACCATCAAAAACCTATAAAAACTGTAATATATGCACAAAAGAAAACTGCATTAAATTGAATGCTGACAAATCCGAGTTCTTGCTCACCGGAAAAAATTAAATTAAAAACCGAAACAGTAGTAACCCAAACACTTGTTCATTCCGGACTTCGTTTTGCTCATCCAAGCTCTATTGTCCAAATACAAGAAACTTTGGCACCTCAAACACTAACATATTGTCATGAGCTTCGTGAACTTAAAAAAAAACATAGCAAAATCTATAATCTTTTTTGAACTAAAAAGTAAAAAATAAACATTTTAATTAAAATTTAATAGTTCAGTAAAATAAAGATTGACAGGTATGTTTCTAAATAAATCTTGTGCAGACCTGTCAATCTTTAGTTTACTGAACTATTAAATTTTAATCAAAAAGTTTATTTTTTACTTTTTAGTTCAAAAAAGATTATAGTTTTTAGCAAATTTTTTTGCTATGTTTTTTATTTTCTACTTTTTAGTCTTAACAAATTTTTCATATGAAATACAAAACTAAAAAAAATTATTAAAAAAATTAAAAAACTAAAATACAAACCTACAAGCAATCTTGCCGATCTAAAAAAAAAATTTATTAGTAAAAAAAAATTTTTTAAATAAATAAACCCGCAAGCAATTTAGTGACTAACTTTTACTAAAAAGAAAAGTTGCGAGTGGTTGAAGGACGACAAAGTTACTTGAGGAAGAGTTCATATCAAGTGAAAGAAAATATTATAATTATAAAAAAGTAATAATGCCAAAACTTGATGTAGTTGGAAGGAATGTACTAAAGTCATTTCTAAATATAGTAAAAATTATATTCATCCTTTATTTTTTATCCAGGATATATCTCTAATCATACAACAAAATAACCTAAATTTATTTATTCGTCTGTTGAAAAATAAAATAAAATTTGATATTGTTAAATCAATTAAGTTAAAAAACCAAACAACTCCATACTCTTTTTTAGATAGTATCAAACAACCGTTCTTTTTGAGCAGCATTGGTGCAGTGGTAGCGCACTTGCCTCAGAAACATCGGTGGTTGAAACCCCACCTCATAGCAAGTTTTACTTCCAATTAAATGCTTATCCTCATTACTCTGTGACAAGACCGTAAGAACTTCTTGGGGCATCTAAAAAATAAAAACAAATTTTGTGCAATAGCCATGGTTTTAATCTAGCCAAAATAATGCAAAGCAAAAAAAAATTAAAATATTTTTTTAAATAAAAACATTTCAAAACAATGAGAAGGACTTTACAGTTTTAAAACGTGCAATTTCGTGCTGGAACTCAAAAGTGCAAAGAACCAATTTTCAAGGGTATTCCCTTCTTCTCTAGAAAAAAAAAGGTCTGGACGAAAATATTCTAAGATTTAACATTACGACTACCTTTAATGTAACTTCATTCTCCTTACTTGTATTTTATAGTGGGTGTTTAACAAATATAATAATAAAAATAATAATTATGAAGCAACTACCACTCTAACTTAATGAACACTTCGATTTTATAAAACTTCGATATTAGTACTTATACTTTGTATTTACATTTTTTTTTTTTCTATAGATTTTGTACTTATCTTTACTTAAACTTTATAAAGTTCTGATTACAAAATCTTATAATCTTTTTTCAGATCCTAGGTAATATGCCAAGTGTTCGACCTGCAACCTAATCTTCGCCACTTGGTCACTAAAAAAAAAGAAGAGAATAAGCTAATTGCTGGAAAGTCTTATTAAAAAAAAAATTCTGACGTTCACTTTATAACAGACAAAATTTTAACAATTATAACTTTAAAATAAAAGTTTTAGGAAAAAATTGTTTTAAATACTTCTTAATGCTTAATGAAAAATTTTAGATTTTAGATTTTAGCATTTGGATAATCTCTCAAAATTATAATGTCTATAATCTAATTGTATTTCTTTCCTTTATAAACTGTAACTAGGATGCGGAACTGTTTCACAAATATAAAATCAGCAAATTAACTTGGAAGGATGGACGTGGGGTGGTGGTTGCAAAAATTAAAGCCAAAGTAATCCATTTTTATTATTCGTTATGAAAAAGTTTTCTTTTGAAACTGACTTTTTTTTTCATGCTTTTTGCCTCGTTTATATGTAAAATTTAGCGTTGCGTATTTTATGGACGATCCCAAATAAATGCCTTTTTAACATCGAAACAATGGAGAATGTTTGCAAGGTACATGATCACTTGTAAATGACTATAGGAAATACATATTAGTGCATTCATATATTTTATTAATATATTATATTATACACTTTATAATATTATATTAGATATGTTGTAATATTTTATTACTATATCATATTATAGATATATTAGTAACATTTACTTATTATATTAAATATTATTACTATATATAACAATGTTTTTTTATCATACTATATACTTTATTATATTATTTTATATTATGTAAATTTTATTTTTTATAGGTTTTCAAATTTCAAAAAAAGGTGTATCGAGAAACCATTCTTCAGTACTCTAACTGTAGTTTCAAAATGTTTCCTAAAACTTTTATAGTCTAACTCTTAACCTGAATGAGCTGATCTTATAATTTTCTTCAACGTGATAATTTGTTCTACCTCTACTTTTATTTTATTATGTTTAATAATTAAAGATATCCATAATTTTTAGAATTCTTAATGAAATAAAAACAAGTATAAAATAAAACTAATAAGTTTATGACAATCCAAACACTTTATATTACGGGGTAATAAAACATTACCTTTAAAAAAATGTTTTTCTTTCACCAAAATTTAAACTCCAAAATTCAGTTTGAAACAAAATTTTGTGCTAAGTGAAATTTTTACATGTATTCTCTAGAAAAGCAATAATTACTACATTATCTAAATTTAAATTTGTTAATACATCTAGCAATACGTTTTATTTTAGGCAATCAACCATTTTCAGAAAATTTATTTTTACGCGAAAAATTGCTTCATGAAATTCAAAATTACTTTTTACAAAATGCAGTTTTAGTATTATATGGAATGTCGGGTGTCGGAAAAACACAAATTGCCAGAAAATACTGTGAAATAAATTATAATTTCTATAAAAACATTGTTTGGATTGACGCAGCGTTTGGAATGTTACAACCCTCAATGAGAAACCAATGCCAAATATTAGGATTAATAGTTCATGATTCGGCAGGTGATTATCTAGATATAAAAGTGATTATTGAAAAAATTCACAACTATTATAAAAACGAAAAGACATTGTATATTTTTGACAATGTTGACGACGAAAGTGTTAAAAATTTAACAATGTACATATCAAGAAAACCAAAATCATTCACGTTGATTACCTCCCAATGGAGAACATGGACGAATGATGTAAATAAAATACACGTTGATATTTTTTCTTTAGAGGAAGCATTAGCTTATGTAAAAAACAATATTAAAGAAAACACCGATGAAAACATTAAAAACTTAATTAAAGAACTTGGTTATCATCCATTTGCAATTACTCAGGCAATAAAATATATAAATATACATAAAATATCGATAGAAAAATACATAGATCGATATAGATCAAAACCATCAGAAATATTAGATACGAATAACTTTCCGACTGAAGAAGTACCAAAGTCTGCAATGAAAGCAATTAACTTAGTTTTAATAAAATTAGAAAAATCTAAAGATCTTTCATTTAAAATATTAAACTGTTTATCTCATTGCGACGGTCAAAACATCAGTAAACAGTTTATAACCAATATCTCAAATCATATGAAAATAAACGATGACCATTTAGTAGATGAAGCAATTGGATTACTAACGAGTCATTCATTACTAAACTATTTGGATGGTAAAAAATATTCAATACACGAACTTACACAGTTAACATGCAAAAATTTTCAAAAGAGAAATTCAAGTACAAATACGTATCTTGATTTAATCAAAAATTATTTTAAAGTTGAGTTGAACGAAGTAAAAGATCACATAGATTATGGAAACCATTTTATTTTTCATTTTATCTATATGTTTCGTACAAACGGAAAAAAAATTGCGAAACACTTCTATCATCTGACAACTTCTATTCAAAAATTATTTGTATGTAGAGGTTTATTTAAAGAAGCAATCGAAATATTAAAAGTTATTCAAAGTTTTAACACAGAAACTTATGGTGAAAAGGATAAATTCACGCTTTATGCTAAAGATAATATCGCAAGTTGTTTAGACGATATGGGAAAATATATCGAAGCTTTAGAAATTTATTATTCTGTTGACAAAATAAGAACTCAAGTTTTTGGTATCAACGATCCAGATACAATGACAACAAAAAATAATCTCGCACTCTGTTTGAACAAAATGGGAAAATATAATGAAGCATTAGAAATTTTTTATTCTATTGAAAAAATGCAAACTAAAATTTTAGGTATCAACCATCCAGATACAATGATAACAAAAAATAACCTTGCACTATGTTTAAACAATATTGGAAAATATAACGAAGCTATAGAAATTTATGATTCTGTTGAAAAATTACAAACTAATGTTTTCGGTATCAACCATCCGCATACGATGACGACAAAAAATAATATTGCAGTCTGTTTGAACGATATGGGAAAGTATAACGAAGCTTTAGAAATTTATTATTCAGTTGAAAAAATACAAACTGAAATTTTAGGTATTAACCATCCAGATACAATGATAACAAAAAACAATCTTGCACTCTGTTTGAACAATATGAGAGAATATAACGAAGCTTTAGAAATCTATAATTCTGTTAATAAAATACAAACTGAAATTTTAGGTCAGACCCATCCAGATACAATGACAACAAATCATAATATTGCACTCTGTTTAAAAAATATGGGAAAATATAACGAAGCTTTGAAAAATTATTACTCTGTTGATAAAATACAAACTGAAATTTTAGGTATCAACCATCCAGATACAATGATAACAAAACATAATATCGCACTTTGTTTGAAAAATATGGGAAAATATTACGAAGCTTTGGAAATTTATTATTCTGTTGATAAAACACTAACTGAAATTTTAGGAATCAACCATCCAGATACACTGACAACAAAACATAATATTGCATGCTGTTTGCGCGAAATCGGAAAATATAATGAAGCATTAAAAATTTTTTATTCTGTTGATAAAATACGAACAGAAATTTTAGGTATCAAGCATCCAGATACAATGGCAACAAAAAATAATTTAGCACATTGTTTAAAAAACATGGGAAAATTTTACGAAGCTTTAGAAATTTATTATTCGTTTGATAAAATACAAACTAAAACTATAGGTATCAACCATCCAGATCAAATAACAACCAAACATAATATTGCATTCTGTTTGAGCGAAATCGGAAAATATAATGAAGCTTTAACAATTTATTATTCTATTGATAAAACACAAACTGAAAATTTAGGTATCAACCATCTGGATACAATGACAACAAAACATAATCTTGCATGCTGTTTGCGCGATATGAGAAAATATAACGAAGCTATAGAAATGTTTTATTCTGTTGATAAAATACGATCTGAAATTTTAGGTATTAATCATCCAGATACAATGACAACAAAACATAATATCGCTTTCTGTTTGAACAATATGAGAAAATATAACGAAGCATTAGAAATTTTTTATTCTGTTGATAAAATACGAACTGAAATTTTAGGCATTAAGCATCCAGATACAATGGCAACAAAAAATAATATCGCACTCTGTTTAAACAATATTGGAAAACATAACGAAGCTTTAGAAATTTATAATTTTGTTGATAAAATACAAACTGTAGTTTTAGGTATCAACCATCCAGATACAATGACAACAAAACATAATCTTGCACTTTGTTTGAACAATATGAGAAAATATAACGAAGCTTTAGAAATTTTTTGTTCTGTTGATAAAATACGAACTGAAATTTTAGGTATCATGCATGCAGATACAATGGTAACAAAAATTAATATCGCACTCTGTTTAAACAATATTGGAAAACATAACGAAGCTTTAGAAGTTTATAATTTTGTTGATAAAATACAAACTGTAGTTTTAGGTATCAACCATCCAGATACAATGACAACAAAACATAATATCGCACTCTGTTTGAACAATATGAAAAAATATAAAGAAGCTTTAGAAATTTTTTATTCTGTTGATAAAATACGAACTGAAATTTTAGATATCAACCATCCAGATACAGTGGCAACAAAAAATAATATCGCACTCTGTTTAAACAATATTGGAAAACATAACGAAGCTTTAGAAGTTTATAATTTTGTTGATAAAATACAAACTGTAGTTTTAGGTATCAACCATCCAGATACAATGACAACAAAACATAATATTGCACTCTGTTTGAACAATATGAAAAAATATAAAGAAGCTTTAGAAATTTTTTATTCTGTTGATAAAATACGAACTGAAATTTTAGATATCAACCATCCAGATACAGTGGCAACAAAAAAAAATATCGCACTCTGTTTAAACAATATTGGAAAACATAACGAAGCTTTAGAAATTTATAATTTTGTTGATAAAATACAAACTGTAGTTTTAGGTATCAACCATCCAGATACAATGACAACAAAAAATAATATTGCCCTCTGTTTGAACAATATGAAAAAATATAAAGAAGCTTTAGAAATTTTTTATTCTGTTGATAAAATACGAACTGAAATTTTAGGTATCAAGCATCCAGACACAATGGTAACAAAAAATAATATCGCACTCTGTTTAAACAATATTGGAAAATATAATGAAGCTTTAGAAATTTATTATTCTGTTGATAAAATACAAACTGTAGTTTTAGGTATCAACCATCCTACTACGATAGCAACAAAAGATAATATTGCAAGCTGTTTGAATAAATTAAAAAAACAGCAAAAAAATTGTTTCATTATTTGATTATTATTTTAGCTTTAATATATATAAAGTTTCTTCTGTTAGTAAATTTTTATTGACTAGTGTTTTCTTTTTAAAGTTAGAAAATTTTGTTTGTAATTTTTAATAAACAAAAGTTTATTTTTTATTTATGTTCAACAACACTAGGAGGCAAGGGTGTACGTGCCCTTTTTTGTTCTGAAAGCCTTTTTTTATTTTTTTGAAAAAAAAATAATTATAGATATAGAGAACATTTTTTAAAAATTGACGACAGTCTGCGTATGGAAAATCCCATATTGAAACCAGATGCTTTTTCCGTAAAACACGCATTTTCCTAATTATTTAAAGCTTGTTCTTTTTTCATTTAAGCGAGGCATTTTTAATTTAGCATAAAAAAGTACGATTTATATTAAAGTTGCTATAAACTCAATAAGCTGTATTAGACAAATGAATATTTAATGTGACATAGTTTGTAAGAATTAATTTAAAAAAGGGATTGAAATTTCATATAATTAGTAGAGTAAAACAGGGTAAAATGAAATAGCGGGTTAAATGAAATAGTTATGACAACGTTTATTCTTTCGCTGTTAATTAATTATTGAATAATCTTTTTGCAAATATTTTTCAATAATGTTGAAGAGAATACTTTTTTGAGTAAGATGATGTCAAATTTTGTTTTTAATTAAAAAAATATTGTTACAAATTGTTAAGTTTTAGAATGCGTAATAAGATTTTTTTTATTATTTTGAAAAATAAATATATAAAAATCTCGGAAATTAATATTATTGAACGTAAAAGGTTTTATGGTACAACTTTTTACGCTGATCAAGAACCTTTTTTTCAAAATTAAATTTGCTATTTAGGAAAAAAAGTTATGAGTAAAAAACAGAGTAGGAGATTTGTGGGGTTAAATGAAATACGCTAATTATAAGTGAAGCAATTCTTAAATGCGGTTTTTCTTTAATTAATTCTCAAGTGACCAATAAATCTCTAGCTAAAAATTTTTGTATAAATTTCAATGAACGAATTTTTCTATCTGAATTTAAATGAATGACTTTTACTAACTGCTTTTATTAAATGATTCTAATAAATGAATGAAATACGCAAGTTGCTCTCTTGTTAAATTGCAAGGTTTGGCTATGTCAAACATGCATACATAAAAGGTGCTGAGTTTTATTGTACCAAAAAGTGAAAACTCAACTCAACCTCTAGCACCTCTAAACGACTCAACATCATCACAAGAATAAAAAAGTTTTTTTTATTTGATTGATTTTTTAATTGTTATTATTGATTGTTTTTTAAATGTTATTGTTGATTGTTTTAATTACATATAAATTTGCGTATTTCATTCTCCCCGTATGTAGGTGTAGAATGGAATAAATTTTTTTTTTAATCAAATAAAGTTTTATAAAAAACTTTAATTTTTAATTTTTATATTTTTATTTATTCAAATGCAGCTCAATATTATCTACAACTTTAAAAAAATTGTTTTTTTCGTAAAAAATTAAAATCCTTTACTATTTTGACCCCATTTCATTCATTTGACACCATTTTACTATATATTTTTCAGCAACAAAAAACTGGTATTATACAATTATTTGATTCAAAACTGTTCGACAATCGCTTTATACGGCCTCAATAGTTTTCTCATTACGCCTACATGACTCCATGATAATATTCTTCTTTAATTTGTATTATTTATTTTTTTTTTAATGCTTTCATAATTTTTTATACTAAGTTTAAAAAGTAAAAATAAAGACTTGAACAATATCATAATTAATAGCATATATACTTACAAATACAAATAGATAACATGCAGTGTGCCACATCTTGCACATAACAAACAAGTAATAGGCAACAAAAAACACAAGTAAATAACACAAGTTGTCTCAATACAGTATATGAACTATGTAAGTCTAAGATAATTATAGGGTAGGGTGGGGCAAGATGCCCCCTTAACAAACTTTATAGTATATAATAAATACTTTTACATTTTCTTGTGTTTTTTCTTTTTAATATTAAAGTTTACTTATAAGAGAAGACATTGGTAAGATAAAATAACTACTTTGTTACTGTTGATAAATTTTAAAATCAAAAAAAAAAAAACTTGTGCCAGAAGACACCTTGCCCCAGTGGTGGGGCAAGATGCTCTATGGATTTAAAGAATGAACGCTTTTCACGCGTTATTCCCCAAACCATTAAAAAAGTTGTTAAAAATAACTTAAAGTTCTTAAAAATAAAAGCCTTTATTAGTTTTTTTTATTTACTCTTTACATTTTATTAAAACAACTGAAATATTAACACTGCAAATAAATACTATGCAATTATTCTATACAATTGTCTTGAAGATAAATAACTTCTTTTTTAATTATTAGAAATAAATAACTAAAATAAATGTTCTAATAACGATTTATATACATGACTATGATTCACAGTAGTAGCATAAGTCTGAATCTTCTGGACCACACAAAGAGTGGTACTAAGAAGTACATTTAGGACATTGTGTCCAATCATCAAATGGGGGCACATTATAAGCACAAGAGCATATGATGCATAAAGTAGTATCAGTAATAAAACAATGAGAGGCTATCTGCTTTTTAGACTTCTTTGGTTTTTTTGTCCTCAATTTTATTGATTTCTTTTTTTGCTTGATTACCTTATTAAGTGCAGCTTTTTCTTTACGCAATATTGCTTCTTGTTGCTTTTCTTTTACATTGTTTTCATGTTCTTCTAATCTCTTCTTGAAAGGCGAAGAAGTAAGATTTTCAGCTGATTCTGAATTTCTTTTACGCTGTCTTAATACAGTAATTTTAAGACGCGTGGAAATCTTTTCCAAAATATTAGGGGCGGATTTAAGGCCAAGATGCTCATCAACAACTGGCAAAACTGCATCATTTGATTGTGCTGGTTCTTTTGTAACTGTCTTTATTTTTGAGGCAACAGTTGCTGTGCTTATGACATCTAGCAACTGTATAGGTGCAACCAGAGGTACATTTGGCAAATCACTTGATTGCTGACAGCTTTTCAATGATATAGCTTCATCACTGAGCAAAGCTGCATCAAAGGCTTCACCGTTAAAAATAAGCTCATTTATTGGGTATAAACCAGAGCATCTAAATCCATTGATTGCTTTGTCAATGTTTGCAGTAAAGTTATAGGCAGTTGTAAAAATACCTGCTATGTCAAAAAATGAAATTCTACGCCCCCGATTCGATAACATCCAGTTGCTTGCTGCAGTATTGTAACCAACTTTCAATGGTTTGAAAAATGTATGGTCTAAAGATTCCTTTTTGTGTGTACAATGAGGTGGAAGAGTTATGAGTTGAATCCCATTGTTGCAATAAAAGTTAATGGCTTCAAGTGTTTCGTGACTATGATGACCATTGAGTACAATTAATTGCTCATTATTTTTAGATGCATGAGTCACAGTAACAAAATGTGTTAACCATTTGATGAATAAAGATGAATCTGTCCATCCACTGGAGCTAACTCTAACAATTGACCCTGAAGGTGCACCAAATGCCAGCCTATTAGTCATTTACTTACGGGGGAATATAAATAATGGTGGGACATAAACACCACTTGCACTCATTGCACACACGACAATCACAGTAGCACCTCTTTCTCCACTAGTTTTTTTTGAAACTTGTCGTTTTCCCTTTGTTACAATTATTTTTCCTGGCTTATGGACATTTGTTATTCCAGTTTCATCCATATTCCAGAGCTTTTTGGCTGAAAACTTATGTTCCTCAAATAATGACTTGTATACTGAAAAAAACTTATTTAACTTTGGTTTATTGAAGCCAACAGCTCTGCTTACACTGGTGGCTTGTGGGGTTCGAATAAAAAGTTGTGGGTTGCGAGACATAAATCCTTGCAGCCAATCCTTTCCTGCTATTTTTGATTCATTATTAAAAGGATTTTCAATTCCCATTTGTTTAGCGAAATCATATGCTATGCGACGTATATCTATTGTTGTCAAGCCAAATAATGCTCTTTCCATAATCTGAACTTGTGTTACAATGTTTAATTCAAAGTCTTTACTAAATACAGGAGATTTTCCACCCAGAGATAAACCACCAACTACCTTTACTTTTCCATCTCGATGACGTTGTAATGCTTTTTTGTTAATACTAATTTCTGATGCAACACTTTTTAATCTCCATAGCTTCTAACGCTGACTTTATCCTAACATTAGTTGCACCTCTCTGTGTTTTTTGCACATAATTTCTCACCATTATTTAAATTGTTTAAATATGTTTCTAAATAAAAATTTTAAAATTAAATTATATAAACATTAGAACACATGCAAAGTATTATATAATTATTTAATATACTATTGTTTCAAACATTACCTTACATTCATAAATTAACTCTTTTTAAGTTAAATAAGAACTTACTTTAGTTATATGCATACAATTTTTGCACAAATTTACCCAAGAATTATTAATAACAATGGTATTATTATTTTTTTAATTTATTATTGTTGCTATTATAATTTACATTCAATTGCTGATCATTAATTTAATATAATACAACTTTATTTCCCAAAATGCAATGCAAATTTTAAAAATGTATTTATAATACATTTATATATACATTTATAAATGTTTTACAAGTATGGATTGAATTGCAGTAACTGCATGTAATACAACTTCACACTTCACTTTTTTTAGCATACATATTATAACATTTTAAAAATATATAAAATTATTTAAAAAAATTATTTATATATATGTATAACAGTTATCAACACATAAACCAACATGTAAACAAAGTCAATAACTAAATTAGTAAACGTTATTATGTTCTAAACACACTTTTAAAATGGTAGAAATTCCGTAAAACCACGAGACTAGAAGCCCTCCGTGGGCATCTTACCCCACGTAAACGAGGACATCTTGCCTCATATGTAGTGAGTGCAAGTTTAATACAAATAAAACTAATTTTGTTGCTTAATTAAAAACTTTTTTTCTATATATTATTGTGGGACGAATTCTGTATAAAAAAACTATTTTCTTACCTTCATCGCATAAGTATTGCCAGTCCAATAAACATTTGAAATTAGAAGCAATTTACTAACAAAATACTCAAAAAAGTTCAAAATCTATTTAAACCTTAACTAATAACGATATTTAAACTATTTTTTGTTCCGCGATATTGTTTTAACTATATTAATATCATAATAGAGGAATAAAACATTACTATTCTATGATACCCTTACAAAAGCAAAAAGACTTCTTGCCCCACTGGTCATCTTGCCCCACCCTACCCTAGTTGGATTGAAGTAGAGGTCCAAGAAACGAAACTTCTTTATTACTATAGTTTTTTATTACATATTATTTACCTAAAAGCAACTTTAAAAACAAAACACTGTTACTAAATAATCTCTTAAACAAAAAAATTATTATAATTGTTAAAAAATAACAATAAAAATTAGAAAATAAAATTAAAAAAAATATACTGGAGAACTGAAACTTCAATAAAGCACAATTATAATGC